CCCCAGAGGGTGATGACGGCTTCGGCAGGATTCGGCCTCAGGTGTGCAGTGCTGGGGCCGTTCTCAGGCAGGGCATGGCTTGTGGGGGGAAGGAGCTCCGTAGGGTTGATGGTGGGCTTGGAGCCCCACCGGTGGCAAAAACGAGAGGGGCATGGCATGAGGTGGCCCTTGGGGGGGGGCAGCATGGCCCCCCCGGCATCTGCTGAGGGAGCTCTACGCTGGCCAGAGTCTGGTCCTTCTGTGGCGTGGCATTGCCTTGGCAGGGTGCTCTGCGGTGCCATCGCCTTGGCAGGGGACCCTGCGGTGCCATCGCCTTGGCAGGGGCCAGCGCCAGGAGCTGAGGTGGGCCTTGTCCCCCCGCACACCCCCAAACCGCGGGGCTCCTGCATCCCCCCGCTGCGGTTTAACGTGTAATAACGATAATTACCACCGAGCAAGCCCCCGGGCCGAGCATCGCTGCGTGGGCTGCAGCCCCCCCGCCCAGGTGCTGCTCCGTGGGGACCGGTCCCTACGGGGGACGCAGCCGCTAGCCCGCATATTCCCAGGATTTTGCAGGGAAATATTTAAAATAAATGATTTTATGAAAAGGTTTCGGTGATTTTTATTTTTCCTTTAAATCAAGCGTTTCTATGAAATAGTATTTATTGCTCACCTCACGTCTGGAGCACTTTATGGGAGCGAGCCCTTAGGTCTCCTGCTGCTCTGCGGAGCTCAGGAGGGGTCGGCACCCCTCGGCCGCAGGTGGGGAAACTGAGGCAGGGCTTGCCCAGGGATGCAGAAAGCAGGGACAGAGTTTGGCTGACGGTGACGAGCTCCCCTCTCCCGGCCTGGCTCGGACCACAGCTCGCTGCCAACACCTCCGTACCTCTCCCCAAGCGTGGTATTTGCCAGATCCTCCTGGTGCCCCGGGGTGCTCAAAGCCCGCCACCCCGCTGACGTGTTCGACTGAGGTTTTGGATTTTTGACGGGACAACGACCTTCTCCCTTCCCCTCGTCACTTAATTTATATTTATATTGCCGTCCTTCATCCTTCCCCGGTCTGCAAACGTGGTATTTAGGGCCGGTGAGCCGAGGCGGGCAGAGCGGGCAGGGGGAAGCTGTGCCCACCCGGCTGTGCCGATATGGAGGGAGCCTGCCCTGCAAACCTCCCCAGGACTTGTCTTCCTTTGGTTTTCCCTCTTTTCCCCAGGAGCAGGAATTTCACGAGGTGATGGGACCCTGGTTTCTCCCACCCTGAGCTCACTGGGAGGAACCTGGGCCCGGTTTGATGGAGAAGTGACCCCCTTGCACCTTCACAGGTGGAGGAGGTTTTGGGGCATTTCAGAGAAAGCCAGGTCCAGTCGTATTTTCAAAAGAGCCCCCAAAGCCTGGGGGTTTCGGGGGTCCCCGGTGTGTTTGCCCAGCTCGGGGCATCCTCCTGGGTCTCCTGCATCCTCCTGCCGCTGCTCAGCGGCCAGGCGCAGAGGCGGCAAGCGAGGCAGGGAGGCCCCGGGCTGCCCGGCGATGAAATGGCAAGCCCTTTCCGCAAATTTAACTCCAAACGCTGCTTTCACAAAGATCCCAAATCTTATCCAAAGCTGCTGCTTCTCCAAAGTTTCTTCTCCCAAAGCCAACGTCCCCAGCGAAGCTGTCCCGGGGGGTTAGGAGGGTCCGCGGGGACGCCCGCCCCGCTCTGCTCGCCTCCAGCGGCTCCTCCTGACTTGTACAAGTGGGGG